TTTGCGACCAATAGCTAAGATATACTGCCTAATCAATCTTCAATACAGCACAAACATAGCTTGCCTTATTAATACTCGAAATGTCACGAACTCAATGCTCACTGAGTTATAATAGGGATTGATTGCGCCAGTGTCTAAGCATTGATTAATTCAGTATTACCATTGATATACTCTATATACTATCAAATGTTAGTAGAGAGCCATTTATAGTAATCCCAGCTATTGTGTTTGTCTGATGATGAAGAAGTGACAACGGTTACGTGTGTTTTAGTTAAAGTCAAAATTGTTTCTTTTGGGATTGGTGCTTCATAGTTGGTTCACAATAATGTTAGCTCGGAAATTGAAATCGTTTGCCATATACCTGATTCTTTCTTTTAACAATGGATACCGATTCAAATGAAAGGCAATTTGTTTGATTAATTAGTAGGTATCTACTCAATTTTGGTGAGCAGGTAAAGTAGTCTTTAGTAGGTTCGACAAGGTATCAACTTCACCTATATTGTTGACCAACAGTTTTGCTTAGACCAACATTAATATTTAAATTGTCTGATCCCCAAAGTAATTTATCAAGAAACCTAGGAAGTTATGAAATTCAACTGAAAAAAAGAATTGATCTTATTATTTTCATTCACTTTATTCCCGTGAATCAAATCTCCTGAGATGTAATTAAAGTTTATTTCAGATTAATTCGATTCGCAACTATCAAAAAGGTCATAGCACCACCAGCTCTACGTAGAAAATTCAACTGTATGGCATGACAACAAAGTTGAGATTAGGATATTGTATGTTTAATATGGCAGCCAGTAAGAATATCAAAGTACTTGCTATAAGTGTATTGTCACAAATTGCGAAATTTTCCTGATCCAATAAGGAAAGTCAGTATGATAATATTTGTTCTCATGTCAGAAAGTCGACAGACAAAAGCACTTAGCCTGTTATCTTTTGACTGAATTCACTCTTTATTTGCTTTCGTTATTAATAAGCTAGACCGTTGTCACGTAATTTGGTATTTTTATCTTTGTAATAGAAAGCTACTATGTTTTTGTAGATGATGGAAATAGGAACTTTAGCAAACAAAAAAGGAAATATGTACCTACTCCATTTTCGATCAATAATAGTCTCAATGATAACATTATAAATGTACTGCATGCTTGTTTCTTACTTCTTCACGCCAAAAGGGTTGAAGAGAAGCTTGTAGTTATATTACATACTATCAACATGAACAGCTCCGGATAGACAACTGCTGATAAATATGAGCCTCCTCTATATGAAAGTGTCTGCCATCGTCTCCACGCTTTTTTTTCTTTGAGGAGGAAAAATTATGCAATGACTTCTCCCGCCCGGTTGAGGCTAGAGGAAATGTCAAATTCTTACGTATTAAAGACTACCCTGTTTCTACTCCTGGACTTCTAGCCGGAGCCCCGACAACTCGTTAAGTCATCCGCGGCTCCGTATCGGTATCTTCCCTATTGGGCCCCATCTGTGGTGTTCTGAAACGGCGCGTGAGAAACGTGACGCGCTGTACGTTTGGGTCTGGTTCTGATCGGGCGGCGAGCTACCAGTGCTCGCCGTCCGCAGGCCCGTACATCATCTCCCCGCTTAGTAGACAAATTAGAGATCGCTGAGAAGCTATTAGTTTATTAGGAAGCGTAAATGCCTAGACTTTTTTATGCTGGAGACTGATGTATGCGACTTATTTTTTCATTGACAATGCGTGAGAAGGGGCTCGCTGTTGAGAAGCTGATACAGCATTTGAAAAAACTGAGAAGAATACTAAGTACTTAAACTAATTAGGTACATTATTACGTAGTTTAAGCAACGTAATTTATTCGTTAATTAGTAAAAGTTGAACGGAAACGAATTCATTACTTTACTGTTAGCAAGAGAAATGAGTGATGGACTATTTGTTAAAACAATGTATTTTCTAGGCTAATACTAAGGAACGATATTTTACTTAAATGTACCTAAAGAGTATACCTAATATACCTAAGGCATTGCATTTTACTGCCTCTGTACTGAATTAATTTTTATTTTCTTACATACATCCTAAATTACTTGTCTGATTGTATCTACTGATTTAATCAAACTTGTAATTTAGAATTACCCGTAAATTGCAAACAAGACGAGATTTACTCCGACTAAATTTTTTCTACGATAGAATTATCAAACGTAATAGATGCAGGTTTAAATAAAAACGTGTTGTAAAACCGAACCGATTTGAAATTCGAAAAAAATAATACAAAAACACATTGTTATTAGGGTAGTTCCACACGTCATCGACTATTCGTGTGCATAGAGCGTATTTTTTTTTTTATTACAATACGTGCGTAGAGTGAATGTTCTAATTGTCAGCGTTCCCTATTGTCAAGTCGTTGTATACATTTATATTTATACACAACCATGGTGTTAATATGAATCCAGGTCTATTTTTTGTTGGAAATGTAACATTTAAAATTAAACATTTTTTTTTCATAATCGTAACTGTCATATCTATTTTCATAGTCTTATAATTACAAACGTGGCAACGGAACACGATTTCATATTCAGACTTTAGAATCGTAATAGAGTTGTGGGTCTGAATTTTCGATTCCTTGATTGCCAGACACAACATGCATTCGTTTTGAAGTCATGCCCGATATTTGGCAATAGTCTATAGCAGAGTCTCCTCCAGTTACAGAGAGACCAATTACATACACATCTGGGTCAAGCCTTTGTTACCCCTTCATAATTTTTTATCCATTTTAAATCGATTATCATTGATAAAGCTCCAATTCTTGACAGCACAATCTAATTATAATAATATCAGCTTTTAACAACATTTCCATAAAACTATGATATTAATAGCAAAGACTCTGAACAACTATTAAAAACTCTTTACCAAGCATCCTCCCTATTTACGCTATAACTAGTGCAGGTAGAATTGCCCGGTAAAGTTAAGCTAGATGATTGCGTTTTGCTCGTGGTGAGTCCGGGTTTCTGTGTCAAATGCACGAGATTTAAGTATCAAACAACAAAAGCAACCCGATTTAGAGACCACAGTACAATGTATACGAAACTTACGTATGTAAGGTATAATAAAATCAGCTTTAGATTTAGATCGGATAAGGTATAAAGTTGCTTGTATTTTTTTTGTGAAATCGTAGGTGGGTAAAGATTAAACGTAGTAGTATGATTTTTCAATTACAGATGGTATTATTAGTTTCATGTAAACTGAGTTATTGCTTGTACCGATCTCTATTTCAAATGTCATGTTATTATTGCTGTGAATTTGTAATTAATTGAGTAAATAACTCAATAATGATGTACTCTGATGTAGGTGGAATTACCTACAATTCAATGTGAATATTGATTTTAGTGTATTAATTTATAAATCTTTAATTGATGCAAATTGCTTTATTCTTCGCAATTAATAATAAATTGTCATATTATGAACTAATAAAGCTATTGTTCTTGGTACTACAATAAAACATAGTCCACACATCACCACAATTAAATCCTCGAACAAACTTTAATTACATAAAACTTTCAATTATATTCCACCACAAACATGAACGTTTACCTCACCAAAAGTAATAAGATACCGGGGAAACGTTAGCATTATTTACTCTCACCGGATGCGCGACTACAATTCAGAGAGGTTGCTCAAGGCAGTTTTTATGCAGAATTCTGGTATAAAAAGTTAATGAACCATGTCCAAGAACGCGAAGATCATTAAAAACAAGTGTCCGTTGTCAAGTTTTACTCGCAAAGTTACTGTTCGCACTAACCGCAATGAAATTAATCAGACGATAAAATGCAGAGGAGGGAAAGAGTTCTCTAACTTCCCTATTTAATGGCTTACAAAGACCGGATAATTGGATTAAACGGAAGGTAGTTCAGCTATTTTCACTGTTTTGAGACTGTTTTGTGGAGCCAATGTTGTGGATGCGGTTTATGCAAGTTTCTATAACGTTTGGTTCGCTTTTTATTGCAGTTCGTTTTCGACAGTGCATTTTGGATTCTGTGTAAAATACTCCGACTGGCTTATTGTAATAGGATCAAAGTATTGTGAGCTAATAAAAAGCCAGAAGTTACATATAGACAGACGGTATGCAATGAAGATATATGTATAACTGTCAGATATCTATGCCATGCATGCATGCCCGGCATGCGTCAGTCATTTCTACGAACTCAGGTTAATAGTTAAGTTCATAGACATATAATAAAAAGCAAGCTTACTACCATTGACTTTAATTTATTTGTATCGCAGATACGTACTACTACTGAGAATTTAGGAATACTAGAGTAAAGAAGTAATAATACTACCTAAAATCTGGCTTTCAGATTTTGGGCAGCTCTCACAGCCGAAATCTCCGTTCAGCTGAAAGTTTGCTTCTAGAGATCCCGTCTCACCACACTTCCTTCGTTTCTAACTCCTTTAGAGTTAGTGTAATTAAATTATGGAATGCACTACCTCATAGTATAAAAATGGCTCCAAACAAAATGACTTTTAAACGTAGTGTTCGTGAGGCCTATTTAAAGGCGCTACAACGCTGAGTTCGTGTCTTCTTTAATTTATATCTTCGTCAATTTATATTATATTATAATTATATATATGAAGTTATTTATGTATGTACATATTTTGTGTTTATTATATATTTTTATACAGTAGGTTATACAGTATTTATTATTACTATTAGTTATTTATTTTGTTTTTTTTTTTTTGGATATTACACAGGCCCATTTTCGCTGAGCTTACATTTAACCCAAAGGTTGACTGGGAGAAAATGCCATATGGCATTAAGTCCGCCTTATGTACCTTATTTTGTGTGCATTAAAGTGTAAAATAAAATAATAAAATTAAAAGCTATATTTTTTTATAGTTGTAAAACGTTTGATAGATTGAAGAGTTTATACTGTACAATTAGCATGATTGGCGTATGTTTGTAAACACACGCGCGATACAGGGGAAAATCCGAGTGTGGGGCAACGTTTAAATAATATATTTTATGTATACTTACTAGGATTGACCGCATGTCCCTCATCGACGACGTGCATCGACAGGTGAAGGAGCACCAGCAACGTTGCTGACAACTGCAAAAAAAGAAAACATGCTGTAGAGTGTAGTCATAGTTTTAAATACAAAAAAAAATAAAAATGTAAATTTATTTGTTTTCATTTGGTCTTGATTATAATAGTAAATAGTTATGCATTCAACGGAAGATGGAATCATCAAAAGCCTATAAGTGGCCACTACTGGCCTAAGAACTTTTCTCGCACGGAGAAGTTTTGAGCATTAATCACCACGATTTCTTAATACACGTTGGTGATTTCAAACTAATAATTAGAAATTATAAGCTCAAGTTTCGTCACGATGTTTACCTTCATCATTTGTCAGTGGTGTCTAGATAATGTTAGAAAGTACATATAACTGGGAAAAAGTCACATTGGCCTTACTTGCCGTTGGTTGGTTTCGAACCCGCATTCTCATGTATGAGAAAGGTCACCACGTCTTAAACCTCCGGGCCACCACGACATTATTAAGATGCAATCATCATAACGCAACATTGTAAGACATTGAAGTTGGATCTTTGAATATTTTAAAGCTATATTTATATTTCTCTAATGTGAGTGACACAAACCCATACAAAAATACATCTTAAATGTTTCATGCCATAACCACCAAGCTTCTCTCGACTTTTCGATACAAATATTTCATGAGTGGGAAAAATTCCGCCCCATTCATACGTCTGTTCTCTGAACCCTTTTAAAAATGCAAGGCGTACTTATAATATCGCTGACGTAGGTGAATAATTATTTTTTTAGATCCATTTTTCTTGTGACACCTTTCGCAAGCCGTGTGCTATAAAATGCCAACAACTCCAGGGTACAATGCGACTACTAAATTGCATTAAAATTCCTCTTTGTCCTGGCAGCTAGCGCAAAATGAAAAATTGTGTTTGTTCCCGCAAAACCGGTCTTGGATACACCTCTGGGCTTTTATAAATAATGCTGCAAGTATTTTATGAGCTTCCTCCGCAGTTTAATATTTAATTTCACTGATTAACTGTGTATTTTGTTTTCTGTATTTTTTGTTTGTTAACATAAAATAACGCTTGCAATTCTAAGAAAGTGTAAATGTAACCGTGTTACATTGTTGTCTTTTTACTCGGTGATGTTGATTTTTAAGTGTAATTTATTCGCTTTTTTATTACACACTTTACAAATTTGTAATTAGATTTATGTGCAACCCCCTATTTATAAAACTGGGGGTGCTATATCAACGTCACTTTGTAATGTAATATTTTTCACTTATGAGTAATTAAAACGAAACACGACAAGCTTATTATAATATCAATGGTCACGTGATATAGGATTACTATTCGTGTGTTTTTACAGTATTTTTCATCACGATACTGTGTTAGCAAATTAGGCAAATAGTCTGGTATAAGTACGTATAGTATGTAGTTTGTATTTCCTTGGATATCATAGTTACAAATCATTTGATTTCTTGAGTGCAAATTAAAATACAATTTCTTAACGTTTAACAAGTACAAAAAAAGATACGAGTCAAGAATGTAAACATTCAACGAATACTCAGTAGGAACTTATTTCTAATAATGGATAATATTAGGTTTTACAACAAAGAAAGTCCTGGTCAAAATTAATCAACGAATAAAGCTTAGCATATACAGTTATTATAGAATAGGAGGAGCACATACTCGTACAAATCTGGGTTGTCCTCAGTTCGACACACGAATTACCCCACGTCGCCGCTGTGGCGTGGGATTTATGCGGTACACCAATGTTGTATACCTAGCTTTATTTTGAGGTGGAACTTTCGCTATTTCGCAGGTGTGTTCTCTACTTTATAAAGCAATTTTTATCACCTTATTCTGAGGTGTAAAGTATTTTACGATAAAAAGGTGAATGTTTTCGCACATGTGTAGGTACTCTTATATTTTCTACAACATAGTATACGATGAACATTTTCTACACAACAGTATAAACTGGTTCTATTAAAGTGTACCGTAATATTACTGTCTTCCATACTTTTAAATGCTACGTTCAGATACAATGGTCTATGTTCAAGACATTAATATAAAATAAAAACAATTCATATATTTAAAATTATCATTTATATGTTTTTATAGTTTAAAAAAAACATTGGTCTTGTAAACCAAAATTAAGTTATATACTTTACTAACTAAAAAATAGAATAGAAACTATACTGGTAGACCATTACTAGTAAATTTTATAGGTTTAACCTTGAAAATGAACAAATAAGGTCAAATAATGTCTTTTCAGCCCATCTTAAACGAAATCTAACAAACAAAGTCGTCTCAATTAAACTTTTTGTCCTTCGTCAAAACAAGTAATAAATGTGAACAATTAAGACTCGATAAATACTACTCGTATACCATGGACGTGATAAATGCTGTATTTAAGCAAAGAAATATCTAAGTCTTTAATTTATTGATGTTTGAAGAAATTCTATAAGTCAAGTCAGTCTATAAGTGTCACAGAACTAAAAAAGATTTAAATAACCTTTAAAGCCTTAATGAACCTTAGTCTGTAAATAATGTCGAAATCAACTTATAAGACTGCCTCGTTGGCCGTCGGTCCGGTCAGGCAGAGTACTACGGGGATTTTAAAAAATCTCAGTGTTAACACGGAGTCTGGAATAGTGCCCGGTATATGGCAATAGGCTCACTGACCCCTACTACATGGGACTCATAACATAAATAGGGAAAAAGTAGTTGTTACATTGTACAGTGGCATTAAGTGCCGTAATGTGCACCTCTGCCTACCCCTTCGGGGATAAAAGGCGTGATGTTATGTTATGTGTTCAACTTATAACTTAGAAATGCAACGTGCTTGGATAGAATCCAAGGACGTCGAAAAGAACAGGCGGACATAGTCTCTTAAAACAACATCTGTGACACCTGGCTACTATAGAATTACACGCAGAATACACACACATTGACACGACCGACAATTGTCGTGTGACATGGCCCGTTATAACACTTCATACGTTAAGGTGTTGCGAGTACACGCACACATCAATACACCACTGACATTTTCATGCTTCAAATGACATTAAGTCGATTTCTAAATGACATTAAGTCCAACTTTTTTTTCAATGTCCTTGGTTGCTTCTATTCAACCTATTTTCATCACAAATTCTAAATATTTCAAGGCGGTACCAACTCAAAGAGTTCTCTTGAAGTTGAATTCTAGACTCTAGTAAATCTAGAGCCCAGGCACAGTGAGTTGGTGATTATATAATATGTATCAGTTTTTCTTTATGAAAATTCATTTGTAGATAAACTCATCATGATCAGCTGGAAAAAGTTCCCGGTAAAAATGCTCTTATCCCATAACTATGTCGCGTTCCACGCACGCCTCAAAGAGTTTTCAAACCTCCACGGATGGGGCCCAATAGGGCTGATGCCGATTCGGAGTCGCGGAGAACCTAACGGGTTACCGGTGCTCCGGCTCGAAGTGCTGGAGAAGGGACGGGATGGTTTTTAGTTAGTAAAAGTCTGACACTCCCTTCCGCCTCATCCAGGCGGGAGAAGTCATTGATCGATGATTTTTCCCCCCTTAACTCGTCGAGTACCGGTTTTGCAGACACAATTATAGAACAATAGGTTGCGGTCACCGGTGACCGCTTGGTATTTGACAGTTTAAAAAAATCCCATAACTATAAAAAACATACCGGCTAAATCGAAAACGTATTCTTTTTGAGAATTCAATTAAAAATAAAAAAATTACTTGGAACAGATACGAGTAGAGATATATTTTAATGCTTCCCCGAACCCCTTCAAGGAAAACCAACACGATTCCACATGGGTATGCAAACAAACGATAATTGCTGTAATTGGCAACATCATCCTTTGACTTGCTTCACGTAGAAATTATTTATACTCTTAATTGCTATCTGGCACTTTGATAACTCCCACTTGGTTTGCCAACAGTTAAGTTAATGTTTTAAACGTTATAGAGAAGTGGAGAAAACGGTGTTTACATTTAAATCGAGCTCGCCATATAAAACTTTATGTCTTTAATTTCAATGAACATTAATTTCGTGTTATTTTACAATCATTGCATAGAAAGTTTTTCGTTTCCGAAGCTTTGTTTGTTCTTTGTTTATAATTTACGGTGATGTTAAGTATGTTTAGTGAATAAAAAACTGTCATTGTTTAGTTCAATATTATTTGTATCTAAATAAATTCGAAAACGCGCAGTTTCTTAACACCATACAATCACTATTTTACATTTATGTGTCACATGCTGTAACAATAATAATAAAAAAAACCGTTCGATCTATTGTAAGTTGTAAAAGATCGAAATACAATAAAGATACCTAAGTATAAAAATATATAATCCCTAAATAAAATCTAAATATAGTTGTAAATCGTCTGTTAAGCAATACTTGTAGGACCCTTTACCCACGTTATCGTCTTTCACGACCATAGATTGTTTTCGTAAAACAAAAAATATTGTCCACCGACAAAATTATGGACATTGCGCAAAATCAAGATTTATTAGACTTGTATACAGGTTGAGTTTTCTAGTTAAATGTTTTTTTGTATACTTTTGAATTCAATAGTTATTTTGAGCTATACTGCACTCGTAATATAATAAATTGTGCTTTACATCTTACTTACGTTTATAGTTAGACTGTTGGAAGAGGTAACTCGACTAGTTTCAAGCCACAATTGGGGCTTATAGTCACTCGAGCTAGAGTATCAATGGAACTAATCATGAGCTATAACTGGTCACTAGTCATGAGCTTCATTGCGTTACAGACGTTGTAGTTAGTGTCGTGTAAACAACAATTAAAGTCACAGTAGAGAACGTAGTTAAAGTGTTAGTAAGGGCTAAGTAACACTATAATTTCAATCAATTTTGTTGTTTTAACAGAGCTTGATTAAGGATTAGTTGAAATAAATACTTTGACTTTGACAATTTGTTCTGGAATAGGGATGACGCGTATTTTTTTTGTCGTATATGAAAACAATACTTAGATAAAACGAATCAAAGTTTAGGAGGTGAGGTAGCTATGTCATTTTAGAGTATAAATCATA